TTGGCCTGTTGGCAACACCTTCTGGATCACGCATTTTACCGGTCCACCACACCACAATCACACACCAGCTCTACCGTCTCCCATTACTTCAGAATAACAGCGCTGCCGAGCAGCAGCTTCCTTGCGCACCGTCGAGCCCGCATCCGGCCACCATCACAACCTCCGCTGAGCGTGTTCGGATCTCACCGACTCTCCTACTACTCCCAGCTGGCTGTCTAGACCCTCCAACATGGCGCAAATAAGAGGTACTGCTGGGTATCATCTCGGCAACCAGAACAACTTCGGGGGGTCCTCGTCGATGGGACGCTCAGATGCTACAAATGACCCTTCACCGCTCGATGCGATCCGTCAGCAGACCAGCAAGATCGAGGACTGGCTAGACACCATCTCGGACCCGGTCAAGCCATATCTTCCGGCTATTGGGAGGTTCTTGATCGTGGTGACGTTCTTGGAGGATGCGTTACGGATTATCACGCAATGGGGTGATCAGTTGGTGTATTTACATGATTATAGGCATAGTAAGTTGGGCGGAACTCTACCCTCTATCATGACGAACTCTGGCAGTGGAAAGAGTGACGAGCTAACGTGTCGTTTTTCTCACAGTTCCCTACGGCATCACCCACCTCTTCCTCATCCTCAACGTGATCGCCATGACCGCCTCCTCCATCCTCATCATCATCCGCCGCTACAGCGAGTACGCAGTCATGGGCCTCATTGGCGTCGTCGTCACGCAAGCTCTCGGCTACGGCCTCATCTTCGACCTCAACTTCTTCCTGCGCAATTTAAGCGTTATGGGCGGTCTTCTCATGGTTCTTTCCGACAGCTGGGTGCGCAAGAAGTTCGCGCCGGCGGGTCTACCACAACTGGACGAGAAGGACAGGAAGATGTACTTCCAGCTCGCAGGACGCGTGCTGCTGATTTTCTTGTTCATCGGGTTCGTGTTCGCTGGAGACTGGAGTGTTGGGAGGATATTTGTGATTGTGATTGGGTTGGTGGCGTGTGTGATGGTTGTGGTGGGCTTTAAGGCGAAGTGGAGTGCGATTATCCTGGTCATGATTTTGAGCATCTTCAACATCTTGGTCAACAACTTCTGGACGGTAGGTCTTGGGATGGTGATTCACGGCCTACGGCAAAGTACTGACAATAAGTTTTAGCTACACTCACACCACCCGCACAAGGACTTCGCGAAATACGACTTCTTCCAGATCCTCTCGATCGTGGGAGGTCTCCTTCTGTTGGTCAACATGGGCCCAGGTCAAGTGAGCTTTGATGAGAAGAAGAAGGTGTACTAGACGCAATTGAGGTGGGAGGAGTTATGCGATTCTAGTCGCGTATAGCGTGGTACCAAACGCTCAATGCATTGCGCAACGGCGTTCTGAGGATACCTCATGAGGTGTGGATTGGTGAAGGGAAAAGTGGCCGGGATCAGAGGTTACCTAGAATATCGAATAGGAGTTGGAGATACACTATCTTCACTATATATGAGCCTCTCGTCCTGTAGTGTCTGAACACGCCTCTCGCATGTCTGACATAATGAACGTGATCGACGTCCAGTCACGTGCCGTATATTTCGCTTCTCTCAGGCGCGCTAGTGTTTCTCGAGCTTGATTGAACCACGAAGCTTGCGACCATTCTCATTGAATACCACGCATATTCACCTACACCATGGCCCCCACGTTAAGGACTGCTTCGCAAGGTGCTGGCGGCGTCGCAAAACAAGTCCATCGCAAGCGACCGGCTCGAAAAGAACCACAAGACGAGGCCTGGGGCTTCTCACTCGGCTTCAATAAAACCAACGGCACAACACGACATACCGAGGATCAACACGATACACCCGAAGTCGAAAGCGCGACGAATGTCGAAGACGCTGTAGCGCCTCTGCGCGCAATGGCCGAGAAGGTGGGAAAGGAAGTCGAGACTTTCGCGGTCACGCTGGACGAGTTCTTCAATGACCTACCCACGGTCGAGAACAGGTTTGGTGCGGTGTTTGACCTTGTGCTCCGCTTCAGGGACATCGCGAATGATGCCGTGGAGCGCCTGAAGGACCAGCATGAGCGCGAGCTGCGGCTGCAATTGCGGCAGGAGTGGGCCGAGCAGGCACGTGGTTCTGGCGCATCAACAACGAGCAACCCGTTTGCGTCTTCAACATCGGCGGCACCGACTGCTAGACAGACTGAGCAGCTAGCGGAACTGCGCTCATGGCAGCAAGAAGCAGATCTCTGGGATCTCTTCCGGATCATGCTGAATCTGCACCCATTTGAGTCTGATGCAGAAGAGCGCCGACAGGAGGACGAGGCGAGACTGGCGAAGCTGTCTGCTCCACACCGATATGCACCTGAAGGAGACCTGTGGGATCGGTTCTTGATTGAGGACAAGCTCGCGCAGGAGCGCTACGACATCAAATCGTGGCTTGAGCGAACTGCATACCACCAGCAAAGCGACATGCAAGGCATAATGGAGGAGCTTGAGACTAAAGCCCGTCGAGGCAAGGGCTTGTGGTCTTCTGGATGGCTGCATACCCGCGAGAAGATAAAGGGCGAGAAGCGGATACGGACGTGGCCTAATGCTGCCGAATCGCCATTACCACAAATCCGACGTTCCGATAACAACGATCTCCTGGTCACGACCCTCGATGCAGACGCTGTGACCCGGCAAGAGCGCACGCTCGAGAAGTCGGATGCCTACTTTGAGCGCGCCATGTGGATCGCTTGCTGGGAGATGCTGCGTCGTGGCACGCCGTGGCATGATGTGTGCGAGTGGTTCGAAGAGCGGAAGGAAGGGTGGCGTGCAGTCACGATCAGCGCGGCGATGGATCGTACTGACTTGAGCCTCTCAACTTCCGCCTTCAGACGAGTGTGTCGGATGGCTTCTCGCTCAGCTCTAGCGACCGACCACGAAGCTGCTGTGTTTGGATTGCTTGGTGGCGATGTCAAAGCTGTGGAAAAGGTGTGCCGGACTGTGGACGATCATCTTTACGCATACTATAATGGCATGCTACTGAAGCAGTTCGACAACTACTTGCTCGGCACATGCCCGGACAAAGCAGCGCCAGCCCCTTGGCAGCGCAGCATCAACGACGACTCCCTTCAGAATCCGGAGCAAGCTGAGGCTGCCATCCAAGACTTGATCTTGCGCTTGCGGAAAGGCCCAGCGACCAGCAAAGAAGCCTCGCAACCGATGAAGATCATCCAGAGTTACCTATTGGCAGACGAAGTCGGCAGCCTTGTTCACACAGTCGGCGCCGCAATTGCGGAGACTGCTGCTCTGCAGGGACCAGAAGACGTGATCTTTCTTCGTGATCGCCAGGCTCAGCAAGACGGGGTACCTCTACCAGAGACGGAGGTAGCACTTGATCCGCAGACATTGCGTATGGCTGCACACATGGCGATTGTGCATCGTGCTCTGAGCCCGGATTACCTGGAGAACCTTGAGGGCGATGAGCTGCTGGAGGACGAGAACGTTCTGGTGGCATACATTCAGGCTCTTCGAGCGGCTGGCAAGCGCGACCTGATACCCATCTACGCTTCGAAACTTCAACGTATGAGGTACGTCATTGTGCTTGGTCGGTACCTGCAGGACATCACGGACTCACAGGAGCAAGAGCGTGTCTTGGGTCTCTTGGGCGAGTACGACCTCGACGTCAAGGCCATTCTCTCGGAGCAGCTTAAGTGGGTGCTCGATCATTCTCTCGGACACGACTTCCAGCCGCGACCTTTACGGATGCTGGAGAAGACGGATGACACGAAGCTACATCCCGGGCAGAAAATTATCATCGGCTTCATGTCAGGAATCGCCACCCCGGCAGATGAAGCGATGGTGCGCTGTTTGCAGTGGTTCCATCATATGCGTGGAGGGTGGAAGATCATGTTCGATTCGCTTTCGGTCGCCTTGAGGACGGCCCTGAGTAAGCGATGCATTTGCAGTGAGATTGTGGTACTATGCTGACTTATTGCAGTGACTGGCAATATCGCATGTGCGCGGGAGCTCAACAAGGCCTACCCATACGCTGAGGTCTCGAACCGCAAGTCGTACGAAACAATAGGCCGCGCTATCCATGTCCAGGAAACCAATGCCGAGCCATTCGACCAGCAAGAAGCCATGAACTGGGAAATGATGCAACGACAGTCAAACACCTACTACGAGCTAACACAGCTCGTGGATGCCCTGGAGGCCATGTCTGAGTACCGCTCGGAAGAGCAGAAGTACGTAAGCAAAGCGCCAAAGCCTCCAGCTGTGCCTGGGCCACTTAGGCAGAGCTTCAAAAAAGTCAAGGACACCATGGATCCTATCATGAAAGGCATCCTGCGCAAGCCCGTTAACGAAAGAGAAGAGCGCGATCTTGCGTTCGTCCGCGAGAATTATTTGCCTGAGATGATCATCGCGTACAACACCATTCTGCACGCCGCTGGGAACCTCATCACCCGGGATAGTCTCCTGGATAGCATGGAGCTCAGCGTTGTTGTTGCGAATGGGAAGAAGGATGATGAGGACAATGGGCTGCAGGAGGCTTTTGTCAAGTCAGGCAGGATGAGGGAGTTGGTAGAGAGTCTGGCGTTGACGAGCAAGGTTATGCTGATACTGAAGGCTGAGGGCAAGGAGTGGAAGCCAAGGAAGGAGAGGAGGGGGATGGCTTTGGGGATTTGGGAGATCGGGGGAGCTTGAGATGTTGGACATAGCAATGAGCGACCAGCATCATGTTGTTGAGTTCGTTGTGAATCAAATCGATGTTGTCGACCTACATATAGCATCAAGTCCATAATAGACCTGGTCGACCTCTCTCAACGCGGCCCACTTTTCGCGGCTCCGACTTCGTCCTACTACCAACGTCAAGCTTGCAAGTTGCACCGACTCAAACTACGCTACAGTGACAGTGACCAACGAACTGCGTGTCTGAGCGTAAGGTAGGTGTAGTGGTAAGGTAAAACTATGGTACAATTCTCAAGGGGTAAAAGAAGGACCTTCGTATTGACTAAGTAAGAGCCCAACGAGGCAAAAAAGAATAGCTGAGAATGGTTTCGATCCATTGCCCTCCGGGTTATGAGCCCGGCGCGCTTCCGCCTGTCACGTGATTATTAGCTTGCGAGGCGTTGAGTTTGGCAGAGGTTCGACCTACTGCGCCACTCTGTGTCATACGATCATCAGCCTTGGCACTTGGCAAGATTTCGGATTTTCAGAAACTCCGAAATGTCCGGATTTTGGAAGTCTCGAAGTCTTACTCACCAGCTTGCGTGTATATTTGAGAACATTTTATCTTTGCTCTATATGAAATATGGTAGTCTATTGGTGCCACTCGGGGGCAGAACTAACTACTGGTTGGAGCAAAGAGAAAGGTGGGAATGGACTTAGCATGACACGATCAATTCACGCTCTTTGGGCGGCAACTATCTATGCCATGTATTCAAGGTCGGTCAAATAAGCAATGCTGACAACTCCAACCATCCATCAACCAAGCTATGTCCATGTATCCTGAAGTAGTCGTCACCGTACTTCAATCTCTGAAACGCTGCATCTCGTCGTTGCCAGCCGTATCTCAATCTCTGAACCGCATCATCTCGTCGTTTCCGTCAACCCTGGTAATCGTAAAGGGAACCTCATTTAGGGTGGTCACAGCACGGAGAAGAACCGGATCGTTCTCGAGAACGCGGGTGTCGACAAAGGTGCATGGTCGACCATGCTTTTGACATCTCGCGCATATGTTTTGACCGGGGACTCTATCACATCTGCATTGCCTTGCGGACTTGCCCTGGAATTAATTAGCATTTGACACAGATTGCAAAGCGAATGGCTTACCAGAATCCTGTTCCCTTCGCATGGATTGCACCTGGGGCGATAGGATCGACAGTGTGGGAAGATGGGGTATTGGGTATCGTTGGGTCTGGCATATCTTCCAGCCCCGAGGTTGACGAGCTCTAGCCCGATCTGGTCCATAGATTTGGACGTAGGCCCTGGAACGTTGTGTTGGCCTGGCAGATCGCGGACACGAATCACCTGGTCGAGCCAGTCTAGGTAGACTTCCTTGACTCTGGCGATACGAAAATCCAGACCCATGTCTGGAGTGCTGGGGAGAGCAATCTCCTCTCCTGCAGGAGATAGCTTCTTAGGCCAGTCGCAATGTTGTAGCTCTGCATCCCGCCGTAAGGTGCTGCAGCGAGCCTGTCGTTGTCGGACTCCCTGAGCTGAACTTGCCGCTGCACCCAGACACCGTCGTCCCTCTCCCATTCGATACGCATGCCCAGCTGGTTGGCGTTGGCCCAGTCCGACAGAGCACCGACACCTGAACACCGCGCGAGACTAGCAGTATGAGGCTGGCCATCCAGGCGGAGCTCGAAGACGACGTGGATCTTGGCGTTCTGTGGAGGCCACGGCTCTCCGCGTCGAAGCTCGGCATACCATGGTCCTTCGGAGATGGTATGTTTCTTCCCGAACACTATGAGATACTCGGTGCCGTGTCCTCCTGTACCAACGCGTGTCACGAAACCTGTTCGGCGGAAGTTTGCGAATCGTCCAGGAATGGTAGTCTTCGTCCATATAGTCCGCGCTCGCCGTCCGTCGGTCAAAGGGCTTGTCCAGTTCAGACCCACACTTGACCCGAAAGCCTTCTTGCCCGTGCTCCTATTGCATCCTCCTGGCCAGCCCGTGCGCTCAAACACCTGATCCGCCAATTTGCGCAAGACGACGGCCTCTGCCTTGTGCACATGGTACTTCGAGACCCTTGACTCTGAGTCAGCAGCGCCAATCTTGTTGCTTTGCCCCTCCGTCTCTCCTGTAAAGCCGTCCGCCTTGAAGTTGAGCACCTACCTACAAGGAGTAGGGTAGCCGACCGGCCAGTCTGGGTCCGTCCTGCTACGATCCCGATCCATCTTCTGTAGTGATCGAAGCGTACGATCAAGGGGGGGACTTCTACACAAGCCCGATCGTGGTGTCGGACCCAGTGCTGCGATGTGCTACTCTATATGGATTCGGTCATATGGATATGGACCTGTTCTAACAGCTCTATGTCTATATCTATAGCCTTTCCGTCTATATCTATATAGACTTATATAGATTAGCTATACTTGGCGGTTTTATACTAAGTGTAGAGTGCCCGAAGGTTACCTTTAGGGAGGATAAAACCTACGAATCTAGCGCTCTGATTGGCTAGCTAGGTCCGGCTTAGCATTAGTCCATACTCCATATCTATATCTATATCACTTTTTCTCGAGCTCTATATTTATCGGTCCATATCCATACGGCCAATTTAGTCCATATGGACGAACATCGCAGCACTGCTGAATGTGACCAACAAGGTCTCGCAGTTGAATTTACAGCGGCTGCGATCGGACAAACTTGAACACGTCAAAGAGCGAGACGACTTCTTCGAAGCACTTAAAACCAACGAGGAGACCGCAAAGAAGGTGCGTGCGATGATTCAAAAGATTGCCGGAATTTTTTTTGCAATAGATGCTCGCACTCGAGCCTTGCTGTAATTTTGATCCAACAACTCCACGCTAAATCGCTGCACAACACACCCAATCCACGAACGTACCGCGCGCCTAGAGCACGTCCATCGCATCGCCATCGTCAGCGAGCAACGGGAACCTTCCGTGAAGAAGATCACTCCTCTTATCCAATTCCATGCCGTACTCCCTCCTCACATCCGCAATCTTGACCAAGCGCCTCTTCTTGCCATCTCCCTGAACTTCAGCGATCGGATCCGCCAACAGCCACGCATCCTCCTCTCCGCAGCAGGCCATGGTGTTCAGCAACAATACATACGCATCGACCAGTGTGTCATCCTCCGGGTCCTGCATGCCGTGCTTATGATGTGTGTACCTCAGGCGCTCAAGATGCTCGTATAGAAGCTCCGCAGCACCTCTGAAGTTGGATCGCTGCGTGCGGAACGCATAGATCGCACGATAGAAGGACCGGCTGGACGATGTAGTAGAGGCCAACTCCTTCTTTGCCAAAGCCAACAAAACTGCATCCGCTTCTTGAACCAAGTTGGCGTCCTCGAATCGCAGGTCCAGCAGAGTCTGCACACTGTCCTGCTTCACGCAAGCCTCTAGCAGTTTTCGTAGTTGCGATCTCTTCAATGGCAGATCGTTCACATACTGCAGGGCGTCGAACGCCTCGTCGTATCTGCCAGTCTGTAGCAAGGCGTTGAACAGTCTGCTCAACAGCTCCTCCCGCACCGGCCCGCCTCTGCTGAGGAGTCTCTGCTGTGCCATCACGGCGTCGATGATCTGAATCTGCGAGCTGTCCTGATCTTGCCATCGTTCATCTTGTTCGTAGATTCTGTCAGCATCTGTGCCGGTCTCAAGGTGGTGCAGAGCTAGGCGCGCGAAGTCGACAGCGTACGACCATATCTTCAGCTTCTCAAACAGCGCGGTGACATGCTGGTAGAACACAGTCTGCCCTTGGCCGAAGTAGTTGTGCTCCTCGACAGACAGGAGCTGAGCAGTATCTGTAGTGGCGATCTGTCCCGCTTGTGCCATCTCCACGGCGGCAGCTTGAAACTTCTGGCTGGCAAGTGCGTAGTCCCCAGTCGCAATGAGCAGTCTGCCCTGTAGGTATTTGGTCCAGCTTAACGTGTCTTGTTCCGAGCCAAGGAACTTCTGGAAGTCCATAGCGAGGTCGTACGTTCCCTCTTTGACTAGTATTGAAAGAACGTAGGCTGTAAACCCTTGCCACTCCTCGTAGAGCTGGGCTCCAAAAACCCACTGTTTGCTCCATAGCGTCAGAAGCTGGGAAAGTGGTTCCCTACCGGTCGACTTTGGCTCCCAGTCGCCGATAGCTGCGCGTTCCAATAACGTCACTGTGGAATATTCGATGTTTTGCGACTCTCCTTGCTGTGAGCTCCGACCGTGTGTCGATGATACGGAGAGCTCGTTGTGGGCGAGCCAGGATAACAAGAGGTTGTTCCTGACCCGGGACATGATCGCCTCTAAGAGCTCGTCCTTGCGATCTAGGAAGTCGCGATCCAGTTCACCGGACTCTAGGCATCCATGCATCCATACGACAAGCGCAAGAATGCTTACAAGTTTCCGACGATCTGTTTCCAAGGTCTCGCGTGCCGTGGCGACCACAAACTTTTCGCCGTAACAGTCAAGTGCCTTGTTGTCTTTCCGTCGGCCACCAGGATAGTGGCCAACAAGGTCTAGGATACCGATGATAAAGTCGGCAGAGATACTTCCAAGTCCATCTAGAGGCTTGGCTGCTTGTTCAAGGGCATTGTAGTTATCGTCGAGTACCTCTGCATCGATTTTGTCGGCATCAAACAAAGTTGCTGCATCGTCTGAACCATGATCCTGAGCCTTCACAGCAACTTGATCGAAGAATTTGAGCTTGAAGTCCGCGGAGAGGCCAGCATAGAAGTCAGCAGCCATGGCCAAGAAGACACTCTGAAGGATCGGTTCCGTGCCAGGAAAGATCTTGTTAACCAATCTCTCTTCGATCGTTTGCAGATTTTCGTCTGCGACGATATGAGGGTTCAATGATATATTCTCGAGCAAGTCGTTCTCACGAACAGGAGCCACGAAGTCAGCCCCAACGACCCATGGTAGGTCGGTTTGAGGATCGTATGCAAATCCAACTGGCTCACAGCGACGGCCGTGAAGATGAGCCAGAAGGGAGAAGAAGGTCTTCCACTGATTTTGTACATCCTCCTGGTATCGATCATGGTCCGGCTGATCGTTCGCGGAACGGCGCAGGATGATCTTGGATGTGATGGCTCGTGCGACTCTTTCGGCGAGTGGCGCTTCAGGAGTACTGAGACCCCTACCCGTAGTGCCAGATGCCAGGTTCCGTGCTTTGCGGTATATGTGCAATGCTGCCTCGAGCGATGCGTCGCTAAACCTGCCAGGCTTGAACACGAACTCGAGCCACCTCTCGCCCGGCGTCACTGATGCACCCGCAAAATCCTCAAGGTCGCCTGGGAAGTCCACGGAGCGGCGAACTGCATCTACCGTCTGCCCGCCCTGATCCACAACCGCCCAGCCACTCTGCCATGCATTTTCGAGAGCCTCGAACTGCGTCGGCTGGCCCTCATCGTCGAAGAAGTCGAATGTCATGCTGAACGTTCGACACAGCGTCCCCGATC